TCCTATTTCCATCTCCATCCCCATTCCTATTTCCATCTCCATCCCCATCCCTGTCTCCCCCCAGTCCCAATCCCTGTGCCCGGCCAGGTGCTCACCCTCTGCTCCGTGGGGCTGTACCGCGTCCCCCCAGGGTACATATCCTGGGGGCTGCCTGCGTCTCCCGCAGTGGGGGGGTCCCACGACGTCTCACCTGTTACCGAATTATAGAAAAAAGTCTGTCCGCTTCCTTCATCCAGGTGCTGCTCCCACTCGGGAAACTCCGGGCTGTGTGCGAGCGAGGAGGCGGGAGAGGCGGCGGGACTCACTCCGTCGGCCGCCTGCCCAAAGGGACAATCCCACGTGGTCTCTCCCGTCACGGGGTTATAATAAAACAAATGTCCACTCTCCGTGTCCGTGTGTGTCTCCCAGTCCGACACGGAGCCGCCGGGCTCCTCCGGCACCGAGCTGGCAGCGGCGGCTTCTTCCCGCAGCTCCTGGATGTTGAGGTAGATGGGATCAGGCGGCTCCTCCGGCTCCTTGCGCGCCTGGGGGGGGACACGAGGGGGTCACCGGGTGCTGCAGGTGGGATGGCATTCCTGGGATGTCCCCACAGTGGTGCTCAGGTGGGGGGGTTAAGGAGATGGATCCTGTTCTTGCTGCTGGGGCGCCCTCCTGGGCACCCCAATGAGTGGGGCAGGAGGTGCCAGTGATGGGGTGTGGATTGTGGGAGGTGGAGGGGGCACCCACAGCTCCCACAGCGGGGAGGAGCATCCGCTGGCAGAGGGGATGGGAGTCCAGACTGGGCACGTGGGGAGACATCGTGGTCCCCGGTGCCAGCACCCACGTCAGGGGTACCCGTGTCACCTGCTGCAGGCAGGACCCTCACAGCCAGCACCCTCATCACCCACTGTGTGAGCACCCACATCAGCACCCACCTGCATCACTGGTACCCACATCACCTGCCACCAACAACACCTGCATCACCTGCACCCACATCACCAGCACCTGTGTCACCTGCTGCACACAGTCCCTGTGTCAGCACCCACGTCACTGGCACCCGCATCACCCACTGCATCCAGCACCCACATCAGCACCCACATCACTGGCACCCAAACCGCGAACACCCGCAACATCTGCACCAACATCTGCCACCTCAACACCACCGACGTCCTCATCCTCTGCACCCTCAGCCTCTGCTCCCACCTCCCCGACACCAGCACCCCAACACTCACACCCACCCCACCCTCACCCACACCCCAGCGCCCTCAACACCAGCACCCAGAGCACCAGCACTCACATCACCAACACCAGCACCCAGAGCACCTCCACCCTCAAAACCAGCACCCCAGGACACCTCCAGGACCCACATCACTGACACCAGCACCCAAACCACCAGCACCCACATCCTTTGCACCTCTGGACATTTCCAGCACCCACATCCCCTGCACCCCTGGACATTTCCAGCACCCACATCCCCTGCACCTCTGGACATTTCCAGCACCCACATCATGAGCACCCACAGCCTCTGTCTCCCCCCAGGGCCGAATGCTGAGCTGACAGTCCCATCACCACATCCCAAAATAAAGGCCCCAGTACTGGCCTGGCCTGGCTGACCTCCACCCACAGGACTGCTCAGGGTGGGGGGATGTGTCCCCTGGGACCAGGCAGGTGCTGCCAGTGGGGAAACCCCTCCTGGCACCCTTTGAACTCCCCAGTTTTACAGCCGGAGCCTCTCACTAACAGCCACGGGGACAAAGGTCCCAACCTGGCCCTGCCCATCACTCAGGGTGGGGGGACAGTGGGCACAGTGTCCCTGGGGACACCCTGGATCTGAGGGGGACAGCGACTTGATGACACCCCCTCGCCCTCCCCCTGTCACCCCACGACCCCCCTGCCATGGTGAGCAGGGCTGGAATCCAGCACAGGGGGCCACCCTCCCTCTTGGGGACAGGGGACATGGGGGTGACCACGAGGGATCCCTGGCACGGAGCCCCCCAGCACCTCCCTCTATCCCATGGGTGCATCCCTGGTGGGGTTTTCTCCCCTGGGGTGGGCTGGGTGCCCCTCACCGCTTTGGAAGGGGCATCGTGGCACCTGCCAGTGCCCGTAAACAGCCAGGGAAACCCAAGAGGGAGTTTGGAGGAGCAGGACCCCAAAACACCCCCCAGCCCCACACTGTGTGCACCCGTGGGTGCTGCCTACCTTCCCCAAGTGCAGCAGCCTTGACACCCTGCTCCGGGCCCGCCGGGGACCCCCTGACTCCCGGTCACCCATCGCAGGGGGGCCCTGGGCTGGGGGTGCAGCGTGGGGGCACTGGAGTGGGAGGCAGCCGTGGGGGCACCGGGAGGCTCCGGTAATGCCACGGGCACCCTGAGCCAGGCCCTGCACCCGCCGCGCTTCCTGCCGGGGTTCGAGGAGCGGAAGAGACGCCCGGGGCGCAATTGGCTGTTCTTGGGGGCTGTTGTCACCCATCACCCTCCCACTCGTCACCCGCTCCGGCAAAGCCAAGGCCACCCGAACAGGAATTGCACCGGGATGATCCCCCCCAAATTTAGGTTGGCCCTTGTGGTGTCATCCTGTGCCACCAGAAGCCGATCCAGGGCTGCTGCGTCCCCCCAGCACCGGGATCGCCCCATCCCAGCAGTCAGGGTGGGGTGGGGGGAGCACATGGTGGCAGGGCCAAGGTCACCACGGTCCCATCGTGGCTGATACCGGATGGTTTTGGCACCAGTTGGATTTGGGCAGGGAAGGGGGATGATCTGGTGGTGGCACTGGGGTTGGGGACCCCACTGGGTCACCACCAGAGCGGGGTCGGTGGCTTTGGGTGTGCAAAGGGCACAGCTGAGGGCACAGTGTGGAAAATGGGGTAAAAATGGGGTGTAAAACACAGCCCACCACCACTAACACCCCCTTTCCTCAAGCAACACCCCCTCCCAGGTGGCACAATCCCTCCAGCCCCCCTCCAAGTGGGGGACACCCAAGTGGGGTGCTGCAGGTGCCTGGGGTTACCCCAAAGTGAGGTGCTGGGGTAGGGGCAGGGGACAAGCCTGTGGAATCCCCTCTCTGCTGGCACCGTCCCAGCCGTGTGCCCCAGCCCGTGTCGGTGGCAGGAGAGCAGCCAGTGGGGGACCCCCACCCTTGGGTGCCCCCCAGCAGCCCGGGGGTCGCTGGGAAGGGCCCCTCGTTACTTACTGGTGTGGGGTGGGCGTGGGTTTGGGGGTGTCGGGCGCTGGCCTGTGCTGGGGTGCACCCAGCACCCACCTCGGTGCCCGGGTGCTGCGCCCAGGTGAGGCGCCCAGGTGAGGCCCCCGCCCCGGCAGGGAGGAGCTGCCGCGCTTCCCTGTTAACCCCTTTCTGCCTTCTCTCACCCCGGAACGCTGCCGGGACCTGGGAGGGACATCTCAACAGCCCCCCCCCCCGAGTGGCACCGAGACCCCCACCCAGGGACTGCAGAGCTCTGCAGAGCAGGGGGACTGGGAGAGCCCGGGGGGGCCCATGAGGGTGGGGAAACTGAGGCACGGAGTGGGGGCTGAGGGGGAAGGTGTGCGGGGAGGGGGTGCAGGGGGCTGGTGCCCCGTGCTCATCCCTCCCCCTAGTTGGTTAATGTTGGCAAACCTCTATGGGGAGCTCACCTGTAGGTTTGCCCCACAGGGTCAGCTCGGTGGGGGGACACGGGGGGGCCTGGCAGTGCCTGTGGTGCCGGGGTGTCACCCCACCCTGTGCCGGGGGTCACAGGGTCGCAGTGGGGCACTGAATCAGCAGAGGGACCCAGGTGTCCTGCCTGCCCACACACTCAAAGTCCCCCCCCCGCGCAGCTTTTGGGGACAGCAGCGGGGATGTCTCCGTACCTGAGGTGCAGGGCCGGCCCCAGGCCACCTCCTGGCCACATCCCTGTCCTTGCCGGGGGCGCAGAGCGTCTCGGAGCGGCTCTTCCCGAGCGGGCGAGCGTGTCCTGGGGAGTCCCCGCGAGACCCCGTGGTGGTGGCACCGCGTTGTGCCCGTGTCACCCGCGCCAGGTCATCCAGGGAATGCGAAGGTCTCACGGGCTCGGCAGGGTTGGGGGTCAGCCCCGAGGGGACCCGAAAAGAGCTGAGTGACGGTGGGGAATCCCTCTGGAGCACCGAGTCCCTCCTGGGCAGTGAGTCCCTCCTGGGCACCGAGTCCCTCCTTGGCACCGAGTCCCTCCTTGGCACTGAGTCCCCTCGGGACACCGGGCACCCCCCCCGATGGCTCTCCCGGCTCGGTGGCACTGACGAACCGATACTCGTAGGCTGGCGGGTGCTGGGGGACGAGCGTGGCCGGCTCTGTCGCGACATGTCCCGACGGCGGGGGGTCGAGTGGGGCTGGGGAGGCGATGGGGGGCAGCTCCTTGACGTACTGGGCCGGGATGTAGAAGGGCCGGGCGTCCCCGCTCCGCCGGACGTGCCACCAGTGGGGGTTGGTGCGTTTGAGGAGGATGTAGCGCTCGTTGGGTTTGATGGAGACCAAGGTGCCGTCCTTGGCGCGGTACTCGAAGCCGTACTCCACCAGCACCAGCGACTCCTCCGCCGGCACCGCCGCCTCCATGGCCTTCCCTGCACCTCCGCCTGCGGGACACGGGGCAGGGAAGTGGTGACCCAGCACCCAACCCCTCCTGGGGTGTGTGAGGACCCCCCAGCTCAGCTCCCTCGGGGTCCCCACTGAGCCTCTGAGCCCAACGAGGTTGTTCCACAAACCACCCAAACCCGTGGGAACAGCCCCGGGGTCACCGCCACCGTCCTCGTCCCCATCCCCAAACCCCCCAAGCCACCGAGCCCCAAGTCCCTGGGCCCCCAAAGCCACCGAGCCCCCCAGATCTCACCTGCCGCCGGCGCTGGGGTTGGGCGGGCGCGCGGCCGCGGGTCCCGCTCGTGCCCGCGCCGGGCTCGTCTCGACTCGCCCTCGGTTTCCTGCTGCCGCCTCGACGAGAGACGGGGCCGGGCCCCACGGCGGGGTTGGGTGCCCAGCCCCCCGGCCCAGGACAGGGCTGGTGGTGGGGCCCAGCCCGTTTCCTCCCCTCGGGCGGGCGGGAAGGGACGATGGCGGAGGGGGACCCGCCGCTGCCCGACGAGGAAACGGCTCCTCGGGAGGTTCCTGCCGCAGGAAGGGCCCAGCCCCGCCGGCTCAGCCGGGATCTGCGCTGCTGCCGGATCCGGCACGGCCTCCCCGGGCACAGGGATGGGGACCCCGTCAGGGGGGTCCCACGGGAGCTGCCGTGCCCTGGCTTTTGCCTCCACCCACCCCGGGGAGTCTCACTGTGCTGGTGGGCACACCCCAAATCTTTCTGGCACCAGCATGGCAGGGAAAAGAACAACTGGAGAGGCTGAAACCGGTGGGGAGCAGGTGGGAAGGAAAATGGGGCAGGGAAAAAGGGAAGGGTCCTCCATCCACCCTACAAAACCCCTGAAGGATGGAGAAAGAACAGGCAGGAGGAAGGAGGACAGAGGAAAAGGGACAGGCAGCATCCCCTGTTCCCAACCCTCCTCTCACAGAGACATTGTGTCAGGTTGAACCTGTGATCTGGTCCCTTCCTTGTAGAGAAGGAAACCCAAAACCAGCTTCACTAGTTGTTAAATAAACTTTATTTTTGCACGGGGAGGGGTTAAAGGAAAATAAAATTTCTCCCAAGGATGAGCATCGGGGGGAGAGGAGCAGCCTGTGGCTCTCCCACGGCGCTGGGTGGGCTCTGTGAGTGGGAGATGCTCGGGGTGCCCACGGTCCCCCCCGGGCACGCAGGTCCCTAAAGGCACAAGTGTCACTTTGTCCCCTCCCTGCGTGGCTCCGTCACCCTGGAGCAGCCCAGCTTGTGCAAAACCCCCACGTAAAAAAATACCAGTTTTTCAGTATCGAACATCTTAAAAAACTAGAGCTTTGATCAACGTCAGTTCTCCACATCCTTGATTGGAAATCTGGACTGACACCCGGGAAAGCTGCTGGGTTCCACCGGGAGGGGACATTGGCACCAGGAGGGTGGCAGGGAGCAGCACCTGGTCAGTGTGAGGAGGGGTGGACCTTCCCACCCGCCCTGCTCAGCCCTGGGTGGGCAGAGGGTCCCACAGGACCGGAGTCCCCATCCCACACTGTCCCTGTCCCCAGGGAAGGGCCAGGCGCAGGATGGGCTCCCGGGCAGGGGGTCTGTGCTCTCTGCCTCCTGCCATCCCCATCCCTTGGGGCTCATCTGGCTGGATGAGAAGCCGAGGGCAGCGCTGAGGTCGGTGCTGGGGGCTAAAGGCTGGGCTCTGTGCTGGCCTCCAGCCGCTGCTGGTACCGCTGCCGGCGCTCACAGCGCGGGCACGACGTGGCCCGGGCTTGGCAGTCCCGGTGGAAGACGGTTTTGCACTCGCTGCACCTGGGAAAACAGGGAAAAAAACACCCACTGTGTTGGTAACATCAGAGCAAACACCAAACTCCTCCTCCCAACCAAACCAGGGAACACTTCCCTGTCTTAGGGTTCTCTGAGCCCCAGCCTGGCTCTGGCTCAGGAGGAGCCTTGAGTGCAGGAGCAGCAGCTGCTCGAGCAAAACCTCCACCTCAGCAGCTCCGAGCCGGAAGGAGCATTGTGGGTGCTGCCGGCAGCTGCCAGTGTGGGAGAGAGACCCAGTGAGGTTTGAGCTGAGGTTTGTGCCCTGCTCTCACAGCGGGGACAGCACTGAGCGAAACTTCAAAGGTGTGACAACCACCCCTGGAATAACAAACCCTGTGACAGCGACCCTGAGACACCAAACCCTGGACACCGACCCCTTGACACCAATCTTGTGACACCAACCCACGTGGCACCAACACAGCGACACCGACCCTGTGACACTGACCCCAGGACACCCACCCCTGCGATGGCATCGCTGTTGGGGACCCTCTGCTTGCCAGGGCTGGGGCACAATCAGAGACCCCCGCCCTGATGGTGGGACCTGCATGTGGCAGGGACACTGTTGGGACACCAGAGCCACAGCGAGGGGACAGCAGCCAGGATGGTGCTGCCCTTGAGGTGGGAGGTGTCCTAATTGTTCCCTAATCCAGCTCAGCAGCAGCAGGAACGTGAGGAGCCACAGTGACACCCTGCATGGAGCAGCCAGGGGGGACCCCCCAGCTCGGGTGGGGGGTTCAGTGCTGAATCAACAGGACAAATGTCCCCACTACAAGGGCTGAGCTCAGTTTTTGGGTTGTGATCCCCAACTCCCCAGTGGCAGCAAAATGCTGCTCAGCCACATGCCAGCGGGGCAGCCAGATTTATCTTTCAGTGTGCAAATACCTGGTGCACAATCCATGTGTGAACAGCACCAAACACCTTAATTCCCCAAAGGATCCGTGGGAGCAGAGCAGTGAGACACCGGCAGCGCCAGGAAAAGGACAATGACATCACAGCCGAGGTCAAATCCTGCTCCTGACAGGAGTTGCAAACCCTGAGGGGCTCAGGATAGGGAAAGACTTGTGCATGGACAGGAGGGATTGGGAACGGGAAATATACATTTCCCCACTGGAATATACTTCTACGTGGCCTCTCAGATTAGCAGCAGTGGTGGCTGCTCCCCGGGGCTGGTTCCGAGGAGAGCTAGCATCTCCTGCCTCCACCTGCCCGAGCCCCGGCGCAGGAAGCGCCCGAGCTGCGGGAGCCGGAGAGGGTCCCGCGCCCGGGGAGGGGGGGTTGTCATTGTTTGAGGTGTTGCAGACACATCCTGCGGCGAGTGTTGGTGTGACCCCGGGGCGGGCAGAGGGGCAGGAAGCCGGGTTTAGCTCCGCGAGGACGGCGGTCGAGCCGCTTTCCTGCTGCACAACCTCCTCCTCCTCCTCCATCGGGTCGAAAAAGAAAGACGTCAACAAACTTCCGAGCTCGGCTTTACGGGGCACGAGACCTCCAGCCGGCTGCCAGCCGGCTCAGCCACACATACCGGCGCTTTCCAGAGCCTGGCTGCTCTTTTTCCAGGGAAAACGGGCCCCCTGGGGGTGTTGTTTTCTCGATAACGAGCTCGATGCTGTCGCTGCAGCAGGGAGGGGAGTGAGCAGCGCTGCTCAGCCACCACGGAAATACTGACAGCCACTTAGCGCGGGGCACCCACGGATCCCGCTATCCTTGGTATTTTCTGCAGGTTCTGGGAGGTGCTGCTCACTTTTAGGGACTGCCAGGCAAAGTGAGGCCGTGCAGACCATCGGTCTGTGAAATCTCTCTGCCAGGATTGTGCTCAGTGCCAAATAGGATATGACAAGACAAGAGGAAACGGCCTCAAGTTGCCCCAGGGGAGGTTTAGGTTGGATATTAGGGAATATTTCTTCAGGAAAAGGGTTGTCCAGCCCTGGCACAGCTGCCCAGGGCAACGGTGGAGTCCCCATCCCTGGGGGGATTTAAAAGCTGTGTGGATGTGGCATTTGGGGACATGGGTTAGTGGTGGCCTTGGCAGTGCTGGGGAATGGTTGGACCGGATGATCTCAGGGGGCTTTTCCAACCTGAACAATTACATAATTCTATGAAATAACCATGGAGATGTGGATCTCTCTCCACCTACAATGGAGCAGGCTCCTGGGCTGGAAGGGTTTGCTACTGACTTCTTCAGCAAACCCTGATGGTGGTGGGGACAAACCCCCCTCTACCACCCTCCCCCTGTTCCTGATTCCAAGTTCTGTCCAGCTGCTGCATCCCAAGCCACAGTCGACCCTGCTGCAGGGCAGGTCCCTGCCTGTGAGGGATGGGAGCTCTTTGGGCAGAGGGAAAATCCCAGTGAGAGCCACTGTCACCCCTGTCCTGCTGGGAACATCCTCAGCCTCTTCCCAGCACATCTCACGGTGCTGCCCATTTGGCTCTTTGTTTCCCAGAGAAGCTCTGGCTGCCCCATCCCTGGAAGTGTTCAAGGCCAGGTTGGATGGGGCTTGGAGCTACCTGGGCTAGTGGAAGGTGTCCCTGCCTGTGTCAGAGGGTGGGACTGGATGTTTTTTAAGTTCCCTTCCAACCCAAACCATTCTAGGATTCTATGAAATCCATGTCCAGGCATCCTTCCTCCCCCTCCCTGGCTGTAGATGGGGGTAGGACAGTCCCACTGCTGCTTCCCCTTCCCTCCTGCAGCCCCTGGAAGGGGTCAGACTGAATCTGAAGGGGAGATGTGCTGGCCAGGTGAGTGAGGCAGAAGCACCTTCCTCCTGCTCCTCCTCCCTCCAGCCCCTTGGTTGCCCACCAAGGCTTTTGCAGGCTGACAGCAAGGTGCTGGTGGCTCTGCATCTTCAGTGTGCAAAGCCACCTGTCTTGGTGAGACCTTGGCTCTGTGAGGACAGTCCTCTCCTGCCCCAAACAGCCCTGATTTGGTTCAGCTCATCCTGGGGCTGATGGGTCCCATGGGGACATGGGCACGAGGACGTGGGCACCGTGACAATGAGTCCCAAAGGATGGGGGAACCACGAGGACATCGCTCCCACGATGACATGGGCAGCACAAGGATGTGGCCCCCGTGAGGACATGGGCACCACAGGGATGTGACTCCCACAAGGACATGGGCACCACAGGGAGGTGACTCCCACAAGGACATGGGCACCACAGGGAGGTGACTCCAACAAGGACATGGGCACCACAGGGAGGTGACTCCAACAAGGACATGGGCACCAC